TATACGGTGAGGATTGTTGTGTTTACAAAAGTAAGGTTTTCGGTATTTAAACGCATCTGTGTGTAATTTTGTTTGTAAAGATTTTTTTTTAACCTATTCTCTATCCTTCCATTGTTGGATATAGGTCTCCCCCAGTTCTCTCCATCTTTCCCTATCTTGAGCTGTTCTCTGCCATGTGGGACCTCCTTGTTTCCTGATGTCATCTTTCCACCTTATCTGTGGTCTGCCTCTTGATCTCTTTGCATTGTATGGACGCCACTTTCCGATGGTATTGTTCCATCGTCCGTCTTGGAGACGTTCATTGTGTCCAGCCCATTTCCATTTCAGTTTTGCTGCTTGTTCTATCGCGTCTACTGTCTTTGTTCTGGTTCTGATCCACTGGTTACGTTTTCTATCTCTAAGTGATACACCCAACATTTGTCTCTCCATCGCTCTTTGTGCCTTCCTTATCCTATCCAAATTGGCCTGTGTAAATGTCCATGTCTGTGCTCCGTAGGTGAGCACCGGTATGATACAGGAGTTATATACCTTGCTTCGTAAGTATAGAGGGATTGTTTGATTTTTTAGAACGTAAGAAAGTTTGCCGAACGCTGCCCATCCCATTCTTACTCGTCTCGATATTTCGGCTGTTTGATTTTCTCTATTAGCTCTGATTGCTTGTCCTAGATAGATATACTCATTTACCTATTCTATTTTTTCTGTTTTTATTTTTATTGCCTCTTGGTCTTCCGTGTTGTGTTGTATTGTAAAGATATTACAAGGAAAATATTCGGAGCTAGGTGGTGTTGTTACAAGCCTGCAATTCGCAGGGGTTTTCCAAGGTATGTGTTCGATATTTAACCTCGTAATTCTAACCCTAAATTTTTAACTTACCTAAATTTAAAATCTATACATTTGTAGTTGCGAGGCACATTTGAACAACACAAATAGGGCACTTTTGAACTTTGTTAAAAGGTGACCCATTGCTGCAAGGTCCATTAGGAAGAATTAAAATTAATGTTAGACGTGGACTTTTACGAACCGAAATATACCCAAATATGCAGAGCAGCATTCGGAAGACTCTCATATATACTTAAAAATAAAAATCTACCTCCAAGACAAACGAAACAAAGTGTTTAATTCCTGTATAATACCTGTACTTGCATATGGAGCTCAAACCTTGACATTCACTAAAATAAACGTGGAGAGAGAATAGCGAACGTCTTAAGGATGGCCGATGGAATAAAGAAATCGGGAGTTGGCGGCCATATGAAGTCAAATGACCACGAGGAAGACCGCAAATGCGCTGGAGCGACGGTAATAAAAAAACTGCAGGACCAATGTGGAAACGTCTCACAAACAACAGAGATGAATGGCGAGAATTAGGAGAGGCCTATATTCGGCAATCCGAATAGAGAAAAGGGCTTTAAAACCCCTTTCCACCCCTAAATAAATATAAAAACTAGTTTAAGTCAAGTTTGTATTTTATCTCACAAACAAAACACATCATCTAAAAATAAAAGCAATCTAAATTATTATCATTATTGTGGTACTGTGTTCTGCTTCATTTAAATAATTACCTAATCAAATAATTGTTTCTAAAAACTAGTTGTTACATTTGACATGTCCGGAAGTGATAAAAATTATAAAAAAAATTTATACATATATTATATATGGAGCTGGTTTTTCTCATAACAATTTTATTGTCTACAAGTGACCACCTTGAAGTTGTTTGAAATTATTGTAAATAACAGAATAGTACTGTAATAAAGCTGGACCAAACATATGCGTCGCAACAGGTTGAATTGAATAATAATAACCGGAAAAATCAAATCACTCTTCAGTAAAGATGGAATTTTCACAATCAGCGTTGAAATTTTGAACTGTCACTGCGTACAATATTGAAAATGTGTGAAAACCTCGAAAACGAATAATTTTTCTCAATGTCGGCCCCCACAAACGCAAAAAGTTGGTACTTCTATGACACCACATGTTATGATTTGTTGTGTAATTAAAACCAGTTATTTAATATGTGGTTTTGAGTATGAAATTTATAAAATAAACATAATTAGCATTCCTCAAACTATCACAGCTACCTTTTTTAAATTCTAAAGTTATCCTTCGTATTTCTTAAAATTATGGACTGCAGATGTATACGATGAAGACTGCATATGATATCCTGATAATTGGAAAAACGCCAAAAGTTTTCACACGTATCAAAAACGCCGCAGAAAACATCTGGAAAACTAAATATATTCTGGCTATATCAAGAATAAAACAAAATAACTTATAAACTCATAAATAACAGAATAATGATGGAAGAATGTTGCTACTTCTTGTTTACTGGTGGACTGTAAAATAAGAAAAATAATATACTTACATGACTGAGCACTGTTATTTTGGTCTTAGAGTCTTAGACCCTCAACTATGAGCGAGAAGTATGTCAAGAGCAACAAAGAGCAAACTACGAATATTTTTCGAACTCTCCGTATTATTTTATGGGTTGGAGGCTTGGACATTAAAGAAAGATGTTTCGGACAGATTAGAAGCCTTCGAGTTATGGGCCTACAGAAGGATATTTAGAATAAGCTGGGTGGATAGAGTCACGAATGTCGAGGTGTTGAGAAACTGCAGTATCTGGGACATGTCATCATAAGGGACAATATATATAACTTATTATATATATATATATATATATATATATATATATATATATATATATAACTTATTATATATATATATATATATATATATATATATATATATATATATTGTTATCGTTATAACTTGTTGCAATTAATAATGCAAGGAAGGATACAGGGTAAAAAGAGTCGCGGAAGAAGATGCATCTCCTGGTTAAAAACATTTAGAGCTTGGTTTAACTGTAGTTCTGCTGACCTCTTCAGAGCAGCGGTATCGAAAGTGCGAATTGCCATGATGGTTTCCAACGTTCTTAGAGGAGATGACACATGAAGAAGAGAAGATAGACGTTTTGGTGATGCAGATATCATTCTTCTTCTTCCTTCTGCCTTCATTATTCTTGTATGTATGCTTTAAAACCTGGTTCTTCTTCAATGTTAGCCCCCTAAATTGTTTAAATTATCGCACCATCTTTTTCTTGGTCTGCCAATACTTCTTCGTCCATTTGGTGACTTATCTCATTCTATTCGTACTATCCTATCCTCTGCCATTCTGCTAATGTGTTCGTTCCACTCCTGTTTCCGTTTTGCCACCCATCCATTTATGTCTTCTATATTGCATTCTATATTCGAGCTGTGGGTGTACAGAAGAATATTAAAAATATCGTGGACAGAACACGTCACAAACAAAGAAGTTCTGGGTAGAATGACTAAAGAAATGGAAATTTTAAATACAGTAAAAACAAGAAAATTAGAATATCTCTGATATATTACACGTGGAGAGAAATACACGCTGCTCCAGTTGATTATGCAGGGAAAGATACAAGGAAAGAGAAGCATGGGGAGGCGTAGAATATCATGGCTGCGCAACCTGAGAGAGGTTGACCATTACGTACTGCTTGTATTATTTCGTCCATTATTATATCAAATTGCTTTCCATCCTTCTTGTAAACTGTTCCCAGTGTTCATTTTTTGTTCTCCTTACAAACTGCTTTGTTTCATTTCGTATTCTTCTATAGGTGTCTCGGGATTCTGGAGTTTTTGATGTTTTGTATTCTGTGTAGGCTTCTACCTGCCGTTTCTCTTTACATTTCTCTTTTATTTCTTCTCTGAAAGAAAGAGCTTCTGTTGCTGCTTCTTCAATGTTGTTTTTCATTTTCTCCCAGCTCTCGTTTATATCATCGATGTCATCTATTTGTTTCAGCTGTATCTTCTGTGCTAGCCTCCTCTTTTTACTATTATATTACTAATTTGTGTTCACTCCTTGCGTCTGTTGTGTTTAAAGTTCGGATATCTAGAATCTGCTTTGGATAGATTTTTCTATTGGTGACTATAAAATCAATCATGAAACCCATTAAAATAAATCGTCTAAGATGAGTGGACCAGATTATGCGGATGGATGAAGTATTTCTATTCTACATGACTCGGATGTCGATGAAAAGACATTCCGATTATTAAATCAGTCTATGACCGACCTTAAAACCAATAAATCATTAATTACAGTTAAGAGTAGAAGAGGTCCGGGAAGAAAATTACATGCCTGGCTTAGAAACATACGAAACTGATATTATGTCGAAGATTCTGGGTCAATGTCCCGTCTAGCTGAGGAGAATCGTTATGAACCACAAAAGACAGCAACTTAAATGCCTGCAAGCTGCTAAGCGTATGACATAACAAGAAGATTAGAAGAAGATAGTATTTCTGCCATTGTCTTAAGTGAACACAATATCCTGTGAATGTTGTTGAATGTTTTATGAAATGAAATGAGCCTACCGATCCACTGGATTTATTCTCATTTCTAGCGTGGGTAGGTATATACCAATATTATTGTTTTAACCTCTTTTTAGTTAGTTTATTATAGTAACGTACGTGTAAGATTTGGCATTAAATATATCAGAGCAGTTTGGTAGGTACTATTTGTTGCGTATCACGTATTCATTTTCTCAGTATCTCATTATAGTTGTATTTGTTAATGACTTTAAAGTGGAAAAATCACTTACATATACCTAATCAATATTTACTTAATATTCATAGATTAACAATAGGTCCATTCATAATAAAAATTAGGTATATCAATGGCAATAAAAATATAGATAGATAGGTATCATAAAAATATTCCGTACTTTTTTATAGGTTTTTGTCGGTTACAATTATAATCATTTCGATTACAGTCATTTAAATTAATTAATTAATACAAATTATGAAATGAATTTTTTATGTATATTTTAATTTATAAATAATTATAATTAGTTTTAGTATTGTATTAATGAAACTTTAATTGCGCCATCTATGGGTTAATAGCATAAGCAGATAAAAATATTTCTGCAGTCGACTTGTTAAAATAAAGTCGATAAGGTAGGTAACCGCCTGTCAAATAACCTTCCATAAGTCTTTTTCAGCAGTTGTCAAAGCACTGTAAGTAAATTTTTACAAATCTTTTATCATCCTTCGAAAATAATTACTTTTTATTAATTTTACATAAAGCAGACGATAATATTTAACAGTAATAATATTCCTTCATACATATTTTTGTAATAAATACACAATATCACTATTAAATAACTAATGTTTTTAGAGTATAGGTTATGTTATACCATTTATTAATAAAAGTCTATTATTTTTAGGCCACAATGGGTAAAATAATGAAATCAGGAAAAGTCGTATTGGTCCTCGGGGGCCGATACGCCGGCAGAAAAGCCGTAGTCATTAAAACATACGACGAAGGTACCTCAGATAAACAATACGGACATGCCTTAGTCGCTGGAATTGATAGGTACCCAAGGAAAATCCACAAACGTATGGGTAAAGGCAAAATGCACAAGAGGTCCAAGATCAAGCCTTTTATCAAAGTAAGTAAAAATGTTTAAATATAATGAATAGATCATTCCCTAATAGAGTTTACTTTGATATTATGTGTGTGTGTGGCTCTGTGGCAAAATCGTATTTTGAATATTCTTTCCATTCACTAAAAATGGAATTAATACATTTAGGCATATTATATTGCTTTCGTTTTATGTTCAGGTATTGTGCCTGTTGTATTTTTATTTCTCTAAGAGATTTTATTTATTTTTGTGATAGTTATGTTTGTTTTGGCTGTTTTTATTTATTTATAATTCAATCTGGTCTTTAATAAAGTCTTTTACATACAAATGTTTGTTTTAACATTAAATTATGCAAAGTTTAGAAGGTACTTCTCCCATAATAGTTAATATAATGAGCAGATGTGTATTTTTTGTATTGTAGTGTTATTTTTTGTATAAATCATCTCTCTCTTCAAATTGTTTAGTTTATTTTTGTTAATTTTTTGATATTAATAAATATCAAGTTGTCTTATACTTTTGTTAAAGTCCTAACACTAGACCTAAGCCAGTAGATTACATGAACTTTACATTTTATACCTTTGTTTCAGGTATTGAACTACAACCACCTTATGCCCACTAGATACTCTGTAGATTTGGCATCAGACTTGAAAGTTGTACCCAAGGACCTCAAAGACGCCATGAAGAGGAAGAAGGCTAGATTCCAGACCCGTGTCAAATTCGAGGAAAGGTATAAGCAAGGAAAGAACAAATGGTTCTTCCAAAAATTGAGGTTCTAGGCTATAGATTTAATTTTATAATTGTACACTTTTTATTTTGAGAATAAAATGTGGATAAATGTTTTTGTTTGTTTTTTTATGGTATTTATTCCAATTTTAGATGTGTATAATATGAAGAATTGTGGTTTTTGTGAATATCTGGCAACTGTTTTTATGTATGTATTTAAGATAGATCAATCTTTAAACCTGTCAAGCAGTAAGACAGTAGTTCCTACATCAGTCTGGTGATTTTATAATTGGCTAGGATGACCTAACTTAGTATTAATTGTATTACCTGAGAAATAAAAATGTTGAAAGAATTCTTTTGATTTGGTAACGCATTTAAGATTATGGTTTATTTTTATGAAGCAGTGATACAAAATATGAACTGGTTATTACTGACTTTTCCAAAGCATTTGATCGGGTAAACCATGGGGTCCTCTTACAAAAACTAAGAGCTTTGGGTATTTTAGATCCCCTTCTTCAGTGGATTACAGAATTTGTTAGTGGCCGTACGCAGACAGTTAACTTGGGAAGTGACACTTCAATTGAAATAACAGTTCCATCAGGCGTGCCACAAGGCTCCCATTGTGGCCCTGTTTTGTTTTGCTTGTTTCTGGTTGATTTAGTACAACAAATCAAAAATTGTAGTGTTCTTATGTTTGCTGACGATGTAAAACTGTTTAGAAAAATTCAATCCTGGAATGATGCTGTTATATTACAGGAAGATCTTAAATCGTTTTATGATTGGTGCACTTTAAACAAAATGTCACTCAATATAAACAAATGTCATAAAATGACATTCTCGAGGCAAAGAAATCCAATTACATTTGTTTACTACATAAATAACTTGCCATTAGCCTCGAAAAATGAAGTATTAGATTTGGGAATTTGGTTAGACACCAAACTGTCATTCTCAAGCCACATTAACCAAGTAACAAACAGAGCGATGAAAGTGCTGGGATTTATCCAACGCACATCTGTGGATCTCTCTTTATTTACATTTAAAAGACTTTATTGTGGTCTCGTTAGGCCCATTCTTGAGTTTGGATCAGTTGTATGGTCCCCATCATACCACTGTTACATTCAACAGATTGAAAGAGTCCAGAATAAATTTTTGAGGGTAGCAGCCTATAAGAGTGGATACAGGAGAGAGGAATACGACTATCAGTGGGTAAGAGATAGTCTTAACTTACCAACTCTTGAGTCAAGGAGGACATTGTTGGATTTATGTTTCTTACACAAAGTTATCAATGCTTTTATAGATTGTCCTCAACTCTTATCGCTTGTTAGTCTTAAAGTTCCTAGTAGAAGCAACAGACAATCAGAAATCTTTTCGGTGCCATTTCACCACACTAATTATGGTACCAATGAACCAACTACACGATTGGTCCGGAGTGCTAATAGCTTGCCAAGACAAATAGATATTTTTGACTCCAAAATTAGTTTGTTCAAAAAACAACTAAAAAATATCTTACAATAAGTTGGTTATACATCTGTATTATTCTTATATGTTTGTATTATTCTGAGGTGTTTGTTATTTTAATAATTTATTGTTGTTAAGGTGTAAGTTTTTAAAACTTGTGATTGTTATTTTAATAATATATTGTTTTTAAGATGTAACTTTGTAAAAATTGTAAGTAAATGGATGCCGTATATAAATAAATAAATAAATAAATTTAGGACACTAAAGTAAAAAAACAATATTTTTGCCAAATCAAAGCATATTAAGTACAAGAGTGAAATTAAATTATTCAGAAATGTTCTGCTCCTGTTGGAGATTGGAAACACTTCTCATGAAACTGGAAGCCTTTGAAATCTGGGTGTATCAGAGAATCCTACGAATAAGTTGGGTGGATAGAGTTCATAGCGAAGTTGTTTTGCATCAGATGGGAAAAGTTACGGAAGTCCTCAAAACAGTTAAAAATCGCAAACTTGAATATTTTGGCCATGTTATGCGCTACCCAGAGAGATATAATATACTCCATTTAATAATACAATGCAATGTAGACAGAAGAAGAGGGCCAGGTCGAAGAATGTCATGGCTTGGAAACCTCAAAGATTGTTTTAATAGATCCTCTGCATCTCTTCCGAGCTGCCGTCAACAAAATTACTATAGCCAACGCTCGATAATCGAGCACGGCACATGAAGAAGAAGCCTTTAAGATGTGGGTTTTTCGAAGGATGCTGAAAATCTCTTTAACAGAGTATGTGACCAACAACGAGGTGCTGAAAAGAATGGGGAATGAGAGAGAACTTCTAAATATTGTAAAAACCAGAAAAACGAGGTATCTAGGACATATTTACAGAGGAGAAAAATATAGCTTCCTACGACTGATAATGGAAGGAAGAAGAAATTGCTCCTGGCTGAAAAATGTAAGAGACTGGACAGGCATGGATACACATTCGATATTAAGAACAGCTCAAGACAAAAAGCAATTTGTTGTAGTTATAGCATAGCCAACCTTCAGTAATGAGGAGGGCACTTTAAGAAGAAGGAAGTCAAAACCATTTGCCATTGTATGGCCTGAGGCAAACAGTGGTCGAAAAATGGAGAATCTTGTTAGTAGTTCTTATGCTTTTTTAAAATTTCATAGAGATGCTAAGAAAATAGTTATCCGGCTTGTAATGATTGTAAATTCTCCTAAAATGAATGGATAGAATAGAAAAAAGCTTTATTCTCAGGATTCACAAGTTACATACAAATATAAATTGTTAATAGAGAGAATGGTGTCAGTTACAATTTATAATGGTTGCTGTAACAACCTACACTTAACATAAAAGTAATATTAAAACATAATGATAATAACAGTGACATTTAGATTCAGGTAAGAGCCCCTAGTGTGCCTACAGGTCAGCTTGAAGGTATTCTTCCACTTTGTATGGTTCAAGGTGTATGAGCAATTGTTGAACAGACTTTCTATATTTATTTACGTCAGCTTCTATTTTGATGCTGTAAGGCAGTTTATTAAAGAATTTAATACAGGCATATTATGTGGTTTTCTCAGATGCTGTTAGTCTATGTATTGGTATATTATAGTTTATGAGATTGTTTCGTGTATTAGTATTATGGTTTGTTGTGTTTCAAGAATTTGCTGAGATCGTCACCTTCAACTACTTTGAAGCTGACGCTGGCCATACATTTATGTCAGCAGATAGCTTCCATTATAATGTGGAACAATCTCAAAGAAAACAAGGTAAAACTTATGACGTTATGACTTCCAAGACTTTTGCATTGCAGTCCAGACTTCAAGAAAATCTGTAGAAGTGAAATAAATGAATTTTTGAGACTTTTATAAATGCATTGATTGTACCTCACAAATTAAATTGAAAAAAGGCCCCAATCGTGCATACTTGGCTAACATGGTACAAGTAGACTTCGTCAGAAAAATATGTGCTTGTATTTCAAGACATCTCGTTACAGATCAAAAAGGACTGAACTTGATTTCTTAAAAAACAAATGAATAAAAGTATTTTGAAACGTAAACACACGGAAATCCCTCCATCACTACTTAAACCAAGGGAATTAAAAAAAAAACGTGATACCCTATTGAAGCAACCTAATATAGTTATTCTAGATGCGAAAGATAACAAGTATATTATAAAAACAACATGTTTAAAATGATTTTGTTGTTTAAAAATATTTGTATATTTGCCTATCTGCTTAATTAAGTATTTACTTTTTCAAAATGATTTGAATACTTTTAACACATTGCCTGACTTCTAGATCTATGTGCGACCGAGAAAAAATTGCTCTGCACGTAAGAGGTCTATTGCCGAGAATTTTATTGTAACTGTGGTACCAGCTCGGTCACTATGGCGTGAACGGAAAGTATTACAAAGTTCTCTACGGCAGGCAACGTGTTAAATATTTTTAAAAGCCAACAAATTTTTAAATGTAACTGAGCAAGTGCAACTGAATCTCTAGAGATTAAGGAACCTTGCCTCAGATAAACTGAAATGACGATCTTAAAAAATGTGGATGAAAACAGCCCTGTACAAAGACCATTTGTGAAGACAAGTTAAGTTCATAAATTGAACACGGCAGGTTAGAAGAGGATAATCTAATTTAATATTAAATATATCAATCAAATTATTTTATTATAATATCCTAAACATAAGAAGAACATAATCGAATAACTGTCAGCTGCTACACGACGTCGAAGGTCGAAAATACAACTGTCACTGTCAATATATTTCAATTCCCAACATAACCTGTAAGATCTTGACCAAAAAAGTAAAATTACGTAATAAACAATAGTTTTTATTTATTAAACAGTAATTTTTTAGATATAAAAATGGTCAAGGCTTCCGAGACAGGGGGCGTGAAGCCCATGTCGATAGCAGGTCGCTTTGTAAACGAGAGAGAACGTTTACTTGGAATGACAGCTGCAGAACGAGACTTTCGCAAACAGTGGCTAAAAGACCAAGAATTGGCCCCTTCTGAACCGAAACCTGTCCCCGAAATGTATAAAGCTACCCATAATCCAATAAGGAGATTCTACAGATATCCTCTAGATACGTTAGGTTAGTTTCCAATTTGTGTATTCTAATAGATTGTTAAATATCTCTGTATTTTTAGGTAAAATGTTGGAACCTACTCTGGGATTACAGAGTGCTGCTAGAGTGAGATATTTCACCGGAAAAATTCTTTTGGGTATTGCAGGTGCTTATGTCTTAACCTACTATGTTAAATACAATAGCAATGACTGGACTCGTAAAACCGGAATGAGAATACTCAAGTCTAATATATCGGTACATGAAGGAGATCCTGGTTATCCTAGTATATCTCAAAGAAGTAAACCATCAGAATATGGCGATCGAGGATTCAATGATAACAAATTAAACTTGTAGTATATTTATATGAAAATATTTAGTGTTCGTTTTAGGATCAATTATTTGTTGCTGGCAAATTTTAATCATAACATCTTTGTAAAATAAAGTGCAAGGGCTATTATGTACAATATTGTTTTTGCTTTGACACACAAGGTAAAAGGGTAAAAATTTTTAGAAAAATAAGATGCACAATCTATTAACATCTGAGTACACATTCTTCTAATTATTTTAATAATAATCTTCTATATACTTATTATATATTGAATTAACATTATTTCTCAGTTTTAGTCTTAATGTCCACTTGGATTATGGACTTATAAAATTCTTCTTTTTTTTTACTTTTTTCTTGTCTATCAACCATAAAAAACATTTTGTGGTGAATGACAGTAGTTAGAACTTATGTAATTCTTGGTCGCCAGTGTCATTAACCCATTAACATCTAAAAAGAAACTAGGCTGGAAAAATGGTAAAATATACAAAATTGTGATATTTGGACTACATTTATTAGATGTATTAAAAAAATTTTAAAATAGAAGCGTGTCCTCAAATGGGGATGTTTCCACACTTTTTGCATGTCTACCTTGCCTTTGTGTGACACATGGAACACTAACTGTTTTACCAGTTTCCCTGGAAAATGAAAGCCGTTGATGGCTTCAATGCTGGAACCAGGTTTTCTTTTTCTTTGTGTTCTTGAAGTGGCACTATCTCTCAAATAACTGCATACTATATGACGACAGAATTCTAATTCACCCATTACATTTTCGGCAGAAATTTGATGGAGTTTCCAGGCATTACTCATGATCATGTGCAACTACTCCATCCATTTGCAAACAATTTCGGCTGTACTACAGTCTCATGTGACCTAGTGGTTCAATGTTATCATAATTGGATAAAATATAACAAACACCATTGTCATACCATTTCTCACACAAATTTCATTAGTTTTGTTGAATCTATAATCATATGTACCTCTTGCCATTTTCTTCATCAGCTTAGACATTTATTGGACAGTTTTGCACACAATATTCTCTTACAGTTCGTGTTACCTTTATGTTTTTTTTGTTTCAGATATATCATTAGTAGAATTGCGTGAAAAAAAAAATTCATTTCTATTATAATTAAAGTGTTATTCCTTTAGTATCTTCACTATCATTTGATTTTTTACACACAAAACTATAACAATATCCAGTGGAACCAGTTATCATCCAATTCTTATATCCAAATCTGACAGTCTTTCCTCTACTAAATTGGCTTGCTGGGTTATGGCCGAAATATTTTACCATAGATTCGTCTATGGATATATCTTTATGGAAACATCCCCATTGGTAGATTTTTTCTATAATTTTATCTGCTAAGGGTGTAATTTTGTACATATGATCTTTACAGTTGCCTATTTTGGCATTATTTGCTAAATAAACAAACTTTTTTATATCTACGTACCTGTCTCTGCTCATAGCATTGTAAACACAGGAAACTCCTAGGTCCTGATCTAATGACTAGTATAAACTTTCTCGAGGTAGTCTGTTATACAGTGTGAGATATAATATTGCAAAAAAAGTTTGCATTTCTTTGGAGATATTGTAAAAGACTGATTATGAGGACATTAAAATATAGTGGCTGTTAAATACTCCTCCTCAATCCTTTAGCCCTTGTCAGGGCGTAGTGACACCCTAAATATTATTAGTCTGCTGTCTCCATTGACTGCGATCTTGTGCCATATGGACGGCTTCATGTAGGGATTTTCCCACCAAACTCTTCATTTGGTCCACCCATCGTATTGGAGATCTTCCTCTTGGTCTTCGGCCTTCTACCTTACCTTCTACTACCAATAGTTCCATGGTGCCCGTTCTTCTAGCTATATGGCCGAAGTAAGTTAGGTATGCTTGGTTTACTTTTTTTAGTAGCCTGTCTTTTATATGAAGCTCTTCCACAATTGACAGGTTGGTTCTATGTTCTGTCCAGGACACGCGTAGAATTCTTCTATATACCCACATTTCGAAGGCTTCGATCTTACTCCTCTCGATTTTTTTGAGAGTCCATGTTTTAGCTGCATATGTAGCAATAGGAAAAATAAGGGCATTGACCAACCTAAGCTTAGTATTCCTTGTTATTGTTCGGTCTTTCCATATTTTAATTAATTTAGCAGTTGCGGTTCGGGCCATTCCTAGTCTACGTTTGATTTCTGAGGAACAATCACCATTGTTGGTTATCAGAGAGCCCAAGTATACAAATCTGTCGACTACTTCGAAAATCCCTATTTGGCGTATATGTTAAATACTACCAAACATAAAATAAGTTTTTTATGGTGAATACTTACATGGACTTCTAATTTCTGGTATAAAACTTTTAAAAATACATTTTTTTTCTTGATGGAAAAAGGTGGTTTTTTAATCTAGTACAATACCTCTTCAGAAACTCATGTACTATGAAGCACTATATAATCATAACTGATTGCATTTAAAGTGAACTGGACCCTGTTACTGACTATACTATATCTTGATAAGAAAAATGTGACAATAGCCCAAAACATTTTTAAATTCAACAGAATGTCTGTGGTCTGTGTGCCAGGTTCTGTCTAGTGTTTTTGAGAGTAAGACATTGTAGATGGTAGTAATGAATATTACATAAAAAAATCTTAGTAATAAAAGATTACTTAGATGTTTCTACCCTAGAACTGAAAGACTTTTTGTTTTAGATTTTGGTTTACAGAAGTTCTGTTTTATTTTAAATCTATTTTCTGTTACTTTTCACAGTTTATTATGCTTACCCTTACACATTTTCCTATGTTTTTCTTTCCTATTTACTTATGTTTATGTACTTGGGTATTAACTCACCATTTTCCCTTGATTGTTGATATAGATAAGGCTGGTACATAATTTTTTTATTGTGGGACATCAAAGTAATATCAAACAGATTTTTTAAATCCTGACAATCTCATTTAAAGTATATCTACAAGTATTGAATACCTAGAGAAAAAAGGACCAAAATCCTGGTTGTACATGTAAACAACACTCCTCTGCTTTAAGATTATTACGACCTTAGGGTAGTCAAAAGTAATGATAAGGAATAATGGAAAAATAATTTTTTTATTTTAGTAATACATAAATATAACAATATTACATAATCAAATTGGTAACATACAAAATAGACATTAAACAGGTTTTGATGGTTTAAAAAATGTTTTGTTGAAGGCAATAAAAACTAATACCACATAACAAATCAAGAGATTATAAAAAAAAATTGGAACACTTTTGCAAGGAATTAAACTTAATTTTTTTATGTATTTTGTTTAATTAAAAAAAAATGCAGCACAAATTAAGTTTAATTCCCAAATGAAGTGCCCCAAAAGTATACATACAGATCATAAAATAATTTATATAAAAGTGGTCATTAAAGACAAATACACTCAACAAATGGTCTATTATAGTTACTCCTTGAAATTATATAAATCCAATAGATTTTTCTACAAACATGTCCCATAATACATACATTACAGCCCAATACATAATTATACAGTGATAGAAACTATACAACATCTACCTAAACTTAATAACCAGGTACAGAACAAAAAATACAATTACTGAAAACACAAATAAATATAGGATGAGGTAATTATGGGAACCTTTGGATAATCTCAGTACTCTTGACATGGTTGTGCCCAAGAATCCTCCTGTCTTATCTATATCATCATCCACATCTCTGAGAAGTCTGTCCTGGTATTTAACTTCGTTTCCAATGTCTATAGTCAACGATTTTAGGACACCAATCTTTTCTTGCAGATCATTAGTCATTCTATCATTTTCATCTTCGATTTCGTTGGAAGTTTGTGGCAATGGCTCGTAATAGTTACCTGCGTGGGCCCTCCTCATTTTATACGCTGCCACGGTTAAATATGCCTTTATAACTTTGAAAAAAATAGAAAATATGTATTTACAAAACTTGGTATTTTGTATCAAGATTGACGTGTACTATAAACGTCAAAATATATAAAAGTGGGGTTATAATCAGTCTCCACTGTCTCCAGAAAGGATCACATAATCGATTATTTTTATTCGATTAATAAATACCCCTCAGCTCAAGGTTAGTAAATTGACAGGTTGTCTGGTAGCTGAACACCAATCAGCGACAAGAATCTAATTGCGAGAATGACGTCACTGAGAACACTACATTTAAATGCATTCACTTTACTGGTTGAAACGAACTCGGAAAGCAGCAATGATTGAAAATATATTAATCTATTTATATTGAAAAAAAATACTATTTCTTGTATATTATGTGACTAAAAGTTCGACATATTAAAGAACATCTGATTACATTACTGGATTTTAAAAATATGTTTTGCCTTTTCCTCAAACTTAGTTTCGCTTTCCAGTTTAACTGTCTCAACTTCTCTAATCCATGGTTTAAGATTGTTTTTAGTATCTTCTTTTTCTGGAAGTTTTTGTTGGGGTTTCACGTTTTCTTCTATCATGTTTCTTAATCCTTTTAATAACCTTGCCCTCAGCTATGCTGTGCTGTGATGATATCAAATAAAATAGTGTATCTATCAAATAATCTTGAATTTACCTTACATCGTTTACTACAGTTAAATTACCAAACTAAAATCAATTAGCGATAGCTTTTTTGCTCTTGGCTTCTTTTCTATTGAAAGACTCGCTTGAATCATATAATATAAAACAGTAAACAAAACGGCGGATTAACTGTATTATGTCATTTTTGAATGCAATTCATATCCAACAAATTTTTAAATTTTTTAAATAAATTTTTTAAATTTTTTAAATAAATTTTGTCGATCAATTCAAATAATCGTTTGTGTTGTGTATTTTCGATTAATCAAAGTTGCGATTAATCGAACTAATATGCTGTCTCGAATTCTCTGTAAGATAAACAAAGATACATAATGATAATCTTCAATAATAAGAATGACATTTAAAATCAAAAGATTTATTTGTATTTGTTGTCTCCAATGACGTATAATATATAGACTCGGTGAACGCTTTAAAAAGTGTCCAAAACATGAATACCTTTGTTATTGTTTATTGTTTTGATACGAAGATGCACGAAGTTCATGATTTCTTACGAAGCATCACGAAGTTGATCTTGTGTTTGAAAACATCATGGACGTACTCCATTTTGTGTGACAAGCAAATTTTATTTTAAATTGTTGATAGTTATTTACTTACTATTTTAGTAAAATGCCATACTATTTTATCAAAATAATTATTTCTCTTATAGACGGGAACAAAAAGAAATCATAAATATTTAATTTTAATTAAAAAAATAATTATTGTCATTAACATATAAATGAGCACGCCGCTGTTCTAATAAACATACCTTCAACCTTGAGCCGAGATCTTTCGGACACTCGATTCTATAGCGAGAATAGGGGACTGCGTAGTCTATATATTATACGTCATTGGTTGTCTCATTATTTACCTAACAGGTGGCAGGTGGCATTGTCAATGACCGAAACTTCAATTTAAGTTGAAAAATCATAAGACCAAATAAATCTCAGTTTTAGTGAGATGAAACAGATTTATTTTTGATTGATTAACAATTAAACCAAAATTTTATAAATTTAAAACGTATGTGGATTAATTTAATAGTTCACATTGATGAAAAATGTATCTTGAAAATTAATAATCAGGTAATTAGTACAGAAAGTGAATCTTTTATTATCTCACAGATATGTAATTGTTTACTTTGTTCTTTCGTTCACCAGAATGTATTAAACTCTCGAGATGAGTAATTTTATATGGTGTTATCCAGTGTTATCTCATTAATAAATACTTTTTATCTGCATAAATTTTATTGTGTATCATCTTTCCAGTTGAAACAATGAAATGATTAGGGAGGTATCAGTATAAAGTGCTTTAGGATTTAAAAAATGTCAACGATTTGGAAAGTGTTAACGAGGAAAAAAGAAATCGATACTGAATCTGTAGAAGAAACAAGACTATCCAGAGTTTTGGGCACTTTTGATTTAACAGCCTTAGGTGTAGGCAGTACTTTGGGTGTTGGCATATATGTTTTGGCAGGAAAAGTTGCTGTCACTGCTGGCCCCTCAGTTATTCTGTCCTTTTTGATAGCTGCTATAGCATCTGTTTTTGCAGGTAAGGGTCAAAAATATGTTTTATATATAATTAAGTATTAGAAATGGTGCATGTGAAAAATTAAAATACTTCCCAAAATTGTTTTGACATGATTTTAGAAGAAAATAGAGATATAGATAATTTTACTTAGTATTTTTAACTCTACTGATCAATTTAAGAGTGTAATACTAAGATATTCGTTGGTTAGTTTTAGCAGTTACATAGGTGAGATGGTGAAAATATGATGTATAATTTGCTTTTATAAATTATTAGAAAAAGTTCCTAGTAATCTTTAATTTTCATATTAAAAAAAGATATACTTAAACCATATTGATCAGTAATTGTAGTGTATATTATGTGGAAAATGTTTGATGAAGCTTTTTTATTCTTTGAGACACTTATTCCTGAACGTCAAAAACCTAATTTTGTGCTTATGTTAAATTGAAGATCCTGTATTTTTGCCTTCCATAGCATAGTAAATTTCCCGATTTACTCTGCCAAACTTATATTATGGCCCAAATAAAAATACAAGTAACAGGAGCAAAAATTGTGTTGAGATGATAGTAAATAAATCATATGTTGTTAACCTGGCAACTATGTCATGTCTTTATGCATCTTATAGGATTAGAAGATTCCATCCATCCCCCCCTTATCAAACCTCGCCATCAGTTACTGTCAGTAGCCATTCTCCTCCATAATCGCATACCAAGAAGATTTCTAACATCCTCATCCACATCATCCTTCCAGCGCTTTCTTAGTTGTCTAAACACTTGCATTCAACAGTTTTTTGGAAGCCTGTTTTCTTCCATCCTAAATACATGGCCTGCCCATTGAAGATGCTCTGGATGCTGATGTCTTTAAATACATATTATATATTTCATAATAATTTGCCTCCTGTTGTTCTCATTTACAGGCCTACTATTCATCTCAGTACCTTTCTTTTAAAGATAAATTAGAAGATTAAAATCATCAAATAGGAATCTTATTTTTTATTGGAAAGTATTTGTAAAAAACAAGCCCTTTATTTACAAAAGATCACAAGGAGGACAAGTCAACTTGCTATTCTTAATAGATAAGCCTAATATGTGTAATTATGTTAATACTAACAACTTACTAATTCTGGTCTCTTGGTATCATACAACATTTCCTATGACATGGAGTCATAGGTCTTTTTAAAATCAATATATAGCATGTTATCCTAAATTGTGATTATCAACAGTTGTTGTTCTTCCTGATCTAAATCTGCTTCGACATTTCCCTATTAAGGAGATTTTTACATAATTTTCACTTCTTTGAACATTTTTTATAAACATACAGTGGAACTTGAATATTATGGCCCCAATAGTTACGTCATCTCAGTTGTACCGTCAATTTTTAATAGGTCGACCAAAAACTATTCTAATACATTATTAAATACTCAGTTTTATCAGCTAAAAATAAAGTAAGCCTCATCTATACTCTATAGCATCATAAAATTTGACAGTAGGTTGTCGTTTTTTATTTTATGAAGAATAAAGTGCAATGCATTTCCAGATTTGCGGCCTTCAGAATGTGAGAAAGCCCAATAATTTTCCCTTTTGTGTACAGTTACGTGACCTTGACAGTTCTATGATTTCTCATTAATCAGTGTCATCCCAACAGTCAAATATAGACTTGATAGTATAAAAAGAAGCATTTAAAAATTCGAGAAATGTTGAAAAACCAGAAGTGATGACGTGAAGCGTTTAATTAAAGACCAGATTTATAAATTTTTAGACTATTATCTTTTGTTTTATTATTATAAATTGCATTTTATGTGTGGTAAGTACCACCACACTCCACCAACTAACAACAACAATAATTTTTTATATAATATGCATAAATAATATTTACGGTCAGATAAACCTAAGCTATGTGGTTCCTCATGGGTAAAATAACAATAATATTATATAAATTGTTTTTCAAGTTAATGTTTATTTGATTATTACAGAACCTTTTAACCTTTTATGTAATATTTATGTTATTTAAACTGGGTCATTATTGATAAACAATTTAACAAATCAGCAATGGATTCGCTTTTAAACTATTTTAAACGTGGATATATTTAAAGAAAGAGGAATAAGGTTATAGAAAAGAATAACTTGACTTATTTTAAAAGTATAGCAAAATGAAAGAGCAATGGAGTAAACCACTAATATATATTTATTTATTTATTTATTTATAATATACTACAGTGGAACTTGAATATAGCATAATTGAAGGGTAAAGTAAATAAATGACGCCCTATCAGAGTGACGTTATAAAAGAGGTAGAAAAAAATGAAATTTTAAGGTGGCAAAATTTTATTACAGCATTATTTATTACTATAGCTGCATTTAGGATAAAAAAATTAAGAAATAAAACATATCATGTATATGAAACTTACATTTTTTATTGTTACGCTACTGTTTTGCTAGTTTTGGTCCACACCGGGTATTTCATTTCCCCGGTACCACCCATATCTGGGGGGCATCCCCATATCCGCTACTCGGGGACGCGCCCGATGGGGACTATACCCTACACGGGCTGGTGGGGTATAAATGCAAAAAAATTCTCGTCAGTTTATGTTCTGCTTATAGGGGTAATCCACTTGCTTAAGAGGTGTTATAGTCTATAGCTTTTTTAAGGTCTATTAACTAATCCAAAGGTGTTAACAGGTTAAAAAATCTTACTGAAGCCATTATAGAGAAACAATACAGTTTTAAAAAAGACAGGTCTACTAATGAACATGTACTTATTTCTAGACAGAGTGAGTAGTAGTTAATGATTTACTTATAATGATTGTTGTTTCCAGGCCTTTGCTATGCAGAATTTGGAGCCAGAACTCCAAAGACAGGATCAGCGTATGTCTATACCTACGTCTGTGTCGGAGAATTTGTGGCGTTTGTCATAGGATGGAATCTTATATTGGAATATGTCATTGGTAAGTGATTTTTTTTAAATAGTTTAGGAAACTTACGGTAAAGAGCATTATTGCTTTCCCAACTGTGTTTAAAATTAGATAAGATATATTTATGTATAGTGTTTAATGATAATAAAAACTACATTAGTGATGTGATATCAAGTCGCTATACATTTTACTAAAATTTTTTTATTTGAGTAGTCATAATAACGTCGCAAATACGGACTGACAAGGATAAATGATTTACTTTTGTACAGATAAAAAGTCGCAAAGATCACAGGAAACTAGATAATACATTTGAATAATGCAGTTAATTGTAATAATAATTAGTTGTTAATTACATCGATATCCAACAATGACTAATCAACTCCAATGTTATTAATGTTTATATTATTTTGAAACTAATTAAATTGTAGGGATTCGTTAATATACAAAATAATACAAACCATATCACTTTTAAATGCTTTTATTGGCGACATGCAAGTACTTGGAGGGGATACGAGAAACGATCGCGCGCGAGTAGCGGAGAAATCTTGCATTTTTTACTGCACATTTCCATAATTTTAATAAATTCATATTGTCAATTGTCATATTTCATATTCGTTTGCTTATTTACACCTTCTCTCACTGAAGAAAATGGGATTTAGGAAATGCTGTGTTATAAATTGTAAAAATACAACAAAAAATTGTCAATTTAAGTTTTATTCGTTTCCAACTTCGAAGCACAAAGCTACTACAAAGAGAAAAGTGGATTTATATCATAAAAAAGCATAAGTAACATAACCTAAATTATGCATTATTCTTGCGCCCGATTTTAAAGTCAGTTTGAAATAAATAATAAATAAAAGTTCACTTTTAAGTGAAAATGATCGTTTCATAACACTTACTTAGAGTTCATTTTAATCCAAAAATAAAGTTTAATGTTTAAATTTAATTTTTTTAAAGTGTTTTTTGAAGATGCATTAAGATATATTCGTTGTCCAAAAGTTTACAGGGAAAGAATTAATTGTTCAAACCAATATGATGATATTATGGGCTTAACCTGCTAATTTATGCATTAGCATTATTTATGGTAATTTATTTTTCTTAATTCTTCCACATAATTCTTCCATCCTTTTTTGACATTTGCCACTACTAAAGCTTTTCCCTTTGACTCAGTTGGTGATTTACTTTCTCAAATCCAGTTTTTATTATTGCATCTATATTATCAGTAATGCTGTAATTTAATAATATATTTATTTGTATTTACACTACATACAACGTTTACCTTTTAATAACATACCGACATAACCTCAATCTTACTTTTTTTTCTAATTCTTTTTTGGGGCTACGTCCTTGACAGTTATCCGGTAACCTCGATCTAACATGAAAGCGCAGTAAATTTTGCTGATTTACGACACCAGGTGTCGCTGTTCCGAACTTGCACATTCCGAACTTGTTTCCGAAGAGAATACAGAACATGCAGGAAATGGGACATACGACCAGATAGAAATAAGTCTGACAGAAGTCAAGAGAGCGATCAAGACATTGAAGAACAAAAAAGCCAAAGGACCCGGAGGGATACCAAACGAACTAATTAAAAACGGAACGGAAAAGTTATTCCGCATGCTACACAGATCGTTCGAAAGAGGACTAAATGGAGAGGAAATACCTGCGGAATGGACACAAGCATACATCACATCCATACATAAGAAAGGAAACAGGAAAAAATGTGAAAACTACAGACAAATTAGTATAATATCGTCGGTAGGTAGATTTTACGGGAAAATTATCAAGGAAAAACTAGAAACTGAAATAATAGGAACAATTGGAGAAGACCAAGCAGGGTTAACAGTAGGAAAATCATGCCTAGATCATACGTACACATTAGAACAACTGATAGAGAAGAAAATGGCATAAGGTAGACCGGTACATCTAGCGTTTGTTGATCTAAAGAAAGCATACGACTCAATACCTAGAGTCAAATTATGGGACGCAATGAATGATCTCGGAATCCGACAAACACTAATAAAAGCAGTTAAAGCACTGTACAAAGAAAACAAAGTAGCTATTAAATGTGGAAATAAAGCCTACAATCCATTTAAGACGACAAAAGGACTTCTACAAGGCTGTGCTACATCCCCTACTCTGTTTAAAATATTCTTGGAAAAGACACTCAAACCATGGAGGAGAAAGTGTGAAGGAATGGGCATACCAGTAAGAGACGAATACCTATACACCTTAAGTTTTGCCGACGATCAAGTAGTCATCGCACAAGATGAAGGAGATCTCAGCTTTATGCTCAGAAAACTAGAAGGAGAATATAAAAACAACGGAATGGAAATAAACTTAGAGAAAACCGAATACCTAACAACAGAAAACAAGGATATGAGAAACCTAGAGATAGACGAGGGAAGACAAGTAAATGGAGCAGATAAATTCAAGTATTTAGGAAACATAATATCGAACAGACTAAGACAAACAAGAAACTGTATAAGACAACTAAATTCAGTGCTGTGGGATAAGAACATTACGGGACAAAAAAGAAAATATATAATACCCTGACAAGAAGTATCCTGACATATGGGTCCGAAAACTGGACAATAAACAAGAGAAATAGAGAATAAGAGCAGTAGAAATAAAGTTCCTGAGGAGAAGCTGTAGACTTACAAAAAGAGACAGAATTGAAAACGCAGAGATTAAGCGGAGAATGGGAGTGCAATCAGACATAACCGACTATATAGAGGAGAAGAGACTATCCTGGTACGGCCACGTCAGAAGAGCGGACAGAGGACGCTGGATAAACAAAATCACAGAATGGATCCCGATCGGAAGAAGAAAGAGAGGAAGACCCCGAAGGTCATTCAGAGACGAAATCGACGAGGCTATGGAGAAAAGAACCCTGCGAGATGGTGACTGGAATGACAGGGAAAATTGTAGAAAACGGTTGAGTGAAGGAAGACAGTGAAAACTGTGGAAATCCTTAGTAGTAGTAGTTTAATAAATTAATTCCTCAGTAATTTTCCGGGTATCTAAATGTATCTAAATTGGATTACAATAGTCAGCAATAGAGTGGACATTGATGCTCTCCAGGTGGTGCTGCAGAGCTTTTATATAATGTTGCTTCTTGTACTCAATTTTTGGACAGCTTCTGTTAAATGTTCTTTAAAAGATAGTGTTCTGTTTAGTGTTACGGCCAGGCACTAATTTTACATCCAGGTATTTCGGTGTTTCGTTGTGGGTAAGAACATTGTGGTGGCATTTTCGAATCGTATGTTGAGTTTCTTTCCGGCAAGTGCATTGTTCGAGTGGAAGCAACTAACTTGTGTTTTGGAAGCATTTAGTTGTAGTCTCTACTTGCGAAAATATTTGCTCAATATATTTACAGTGTTCTGCAGCTGGTAGTAAGGATCCAGTCGTTAGCTTATATGAACTTTCTTGCACTAGCTATTGTGGTAGGCCATTTTTAAGGTTCTTTGGTGAGCTGATAGCAGCAGTTCTATTAGGCTTGCAATTGGTTTAGGTACATGGAATTGTATGGAGAAGTCTCTCTCTATATTGTATCGTAAACCGGTGTAAGATCAATTCTTTGGAACCTCACTGCAGTAATTTATCCGTAATATTTTGAATCGCGTCAAACTTCTTATAATTTGTAGTATGTATCAAATTTGGGAAACTCAAAATGTCTGCAGGCAAGATCTGGTGAATGGGGGTGTTAAGGAACAACAATTATGCGTTTCTCGAGCTGAAATATCTATTAAGCAACTCGTAGTTAATAAGTGCACTGTCATTGTGTAGTACTCGGTTTACAGCTTTGTTCTCCTTGTACAGCCTCACGAAAATGTCACAGCATGTGATACAACGAAAACGAATCATTGTTTGTATCATACCAACCGAAAAACTTATAATAATCTAAAAAAAGCTTCTTCATTCTATAGTTTATGCATTCTGTTTATCTGTTTTTTCCACAGACATAAATTGTTATTTTATATTTATTCTTAAGACATACGTGTTCTTGTGTGTTATGTCTTCATTTCTATGTCCATTAAGTCTTAATATGCCTTTCACTCGTCTAACAAATCTCATTTCGGTAGCTTTGATTCATGATTTAAGTCCTTACCTATAGTCGCATGTATGTTGGCGGCATCGTAGATAAAAAAGAAACAACATTAAGTCGAATTTTGATAAATTTGAATATAGTACCCAATATTTTACCACACATTATAACGAGCTATAAATAACGTGTCATTAACTACTAACGACTTTGTTTAAACAATGTTGTAGGATTAGGTACTGTTTATTTAGTCTGATAGTGTGTAATTACCCGTTATGCAGAGATAATATCGGCCAAGATGAAATTGTTTTTGGAATTAACACGACCATTATATAATTAACAAGCCAGGTGAAAATATGGATTAATTGAAACGCGGTTAAGATCATTTGCCAGTTTATTAATGAAGATTAATTGATTTTATATTTTTTCCTGTCGATTAATGCACCACGTACACTGTTCTTTCTTTTGCCAATTTTGCCAATTACGTTAAGGTTGATATGCATCCCAAAAAGACAAACTATACTTGTGGTGCTATAGACGCATGTTGAGGATTTCCTGGATAGACAGAGTTACCAACGAAGAAGTACTACATAGAATGGGTAAAGAGCGCGAACTAGTCGTTACAATAAAACGTCGCAAACTGGCATACCTAGGCCATATAATGCGCAATGAACAACGATATGACCTACTTCGGACCATACTTCAAGGTAAAGTGCATGGGAAAAAAGGTCCAGGACGAAGAAGAATATCTTGGCTGCATAATCTGAGAAAATGGTTTAATTTAATCACTGCTGGACTTTTCAGGGCAGCAGTCAACAAAGTCAGAATAGCCATGCTAGTGTCCAACATCCGTAACGGATAGGCACCATAAGAAGAAGAAGAAAAGGTATAAGTGATGACTAGAAGTATTTTGACAAATTTTGAGCAAACTTCATGTTTTAGTTTTCGAAAAAACTCAAAAAACTGCTTTTTTGCAAAAAACCAAACA